TACTGAAATAAAAATTATAATGAAACTTTACTTGGAGTATAACTTGTGCACATTTCTTAATATTAAGCCAAAAATGTGTTTTAATGTCATTATTGATGAGGATTATATGATCTTTGAATGATATCAGTCTTAAATGCAAGATATTTAAAGGTTACCTGAAGTATAGGCTTCTTGCAAGTTGCAATAGTTCCACTTTAGCACAATCAAATATACTTCAGTATATCTTTAGTTGGACTTCAGCACTCCTTCTGCACAGTTAACGTGCATTAAGTACAAAATTAGTTCTTCCAGTTAGCAGACTTTAAATGTACAGTTGCAGTGTGTTTTTATTAAGTGCATAAATATGTAAATGTATTTGTAATATACTTAGCATGAAATAAATGTATTTCAAATAAATTTTAGTATATTTATTTTTTACTTGGGTTTTGTTTTTTGTTATTAGATTTTTTTGTCATTTGTTTTTTGCTGAAAATTCCTACACTGTAGCTCTCAGTGTAGGAATTTTCCTACTGGTTACATGCAAACTTCGAAATTCGAATAAAATATTCGTGGACACTCGCATTGCTCTAAACAATATTATAAACACAACTTAAGCGCATGCGCGCTGCATTATTAATCAGTCGCAGCGTTAAGACCATACACGAAAAAAAAATTAAACACACACACACTACCTCAAGAATATCGTCAGAAGTAACCACTAACAAACTGCATAGGTTAAGCTTATGGGTCTGTCACGTGATGAACGGAACGACTCGAAAAACCCGAAGACTCGAGAGATGAACTAATCAATTCTCTTTCCGGCTCAGACTGCATTGGTTAAACGTATGGGGCTTTCACGTGATGAACGAATGACTCGAAAAACCCGAAGACTCGAAACAGGTGAACTACTTGACTAATGGCGCTTTTCCACTGCGTGGTACGACTCGGCTCGGTACGGCTCAGTACGGCACGACACGGCTCGGTTTGGCTCGGTTTGCGTTTCCACTGCAGTTTAGTACCGCTTTAGAGTGGGCGGGATTATCCACATGTCGTTATAGTTGCGCCGCCTCTACTGCCTCGCGGCAGTAGAGGCGGCACAGCTATAATGACGTGGATAAAAACTCCTAAAAAACGTTTTCATTCCACGTCGCCCCATCAAGCTCTCGCTGGATCCGCTCCTCTGCTATCAACGAGAGGAACGTCTGTACTTCCTCAAAGAACGACCCAACACTATAAACAAAATGGGCGTTTTCTTCTAAAAAATTGAATCTTTCTTCTTTTCTTTAGGTCAAATACTCCTTATTCAAGAAATAAGATTGGATGTCAAGAAATACTTGCACGCATTTGATGAGAAAACTCTACCCCATTATGCATCTTTTTAAACATGAGAAGGCACAACAGGTGGGCCTCTGCTTTGCCTATAAAACAGATGCTGTTAAACTGCCATTTTGTATGCCCAATAAAACAATCACACGTGTTATTTCTAGAACCATAAGATAATCTTTAGGTAGCAGTCCGTACTCATAACAATCAGAATTACAGGGGGGGAAATGCATTATTATATTCATGTTCTTTTAATTTAGTCATATGCTTCATATATCTTCCCTTCATATATCCTACTTTATTAATTTCCTCTTACATAAAATAAATATATGAAACATCAGTGGGATGAAACAAACTACAAAGAAATATCTTATTTTAATAATACCGTAGATATCAATAGTGTGTCCTGCTGATGTAGGCTACTGTAGAGGAAGGGTTTGCTCAAAGCAGCAATAGCCTACTGCCATCTTGTGTAAATGAGAAAAACAACGACTAATTCTGCAACATAGTCATGTCATGTGATGATTGTGTGAGGTTTGTATGATGTTGTAAATCATTTCACACCATGATCTAGTTATGCACTTGTTGAAAAAAACAGCATATGCTGGTTAGGTATGTTTTGACGCTGGGATGCTGGTTTAAGCTGGTCCTTTGCTGGGTTATGCTGGTTATTTTGCTGGTCCTTTGCCAGCACATGACCAGCATAAACCAACAAAGGACCAGCTTAAACCAGCATCCCAGCGTCAAAACATACCTAACCAGCATATGCTGGTTAGGTATGTTTTGACGCTGGGATGCTGGTTTAAGCTGGTCCTTTGCTGGGTTATGCTGGTTATTTTGCTGGTCCTTTGCCAGCACATGACCAGCATAAACCAGCAAAGGACCAGTTTAAACCAGCAAAGGACCAGCATGAACCAACAAAGGACCAGCTTAAACCAGCATCCCAGCGTCAAAACATACCTAACCAGCATATGCTGGTTTTTTCAACAGGGAAAGCACGCTAATATCGTAAACCTGAGGTGAGAGATATAGCTAAGCATTAAACATCACTGTTTAATAGACCTAACGGGTGAAAAAAAAGTTCTTACGATACCACATTAGACTAGAGATTACTTTGCAGGATCCATTAAGGATTTTTGTAAATAAGGTTGCGCAATTAAAAAAAAAAAAAAAACATAATTTAACGCCTGAGCATAATTTAATTTAGCGCCTAATTTAAGTCTAAATTGAATTTTAAATGAAATTTTTTTCACACAAACAGTGGTAAAACACACAACACCTTTTGGTAAATTGTGGATCTGAAAGAGCTAGAGCAGAGTTTCTCAACCAGGGGCTCATAATGGAACTGTACAATATTATTATTATTAATTTTTTTTAAATTATTTTATTGGTGGTAGTGCTGGTGGTATGGTGCTACTTTGTCAAATTAGACTGCAGAAATATACAAATATAATAATAATGCCCTAAAATGTCTATTACTTATTCTATTTTGATTAATCAAAGCAACATTAATATATTAGTGAAATATAAGACTATCTTTCTGTTCAGTATTAATGCATTACATTGTATTAGTAGTTACCAATGCCAAAAGAACAGATTCTACAGTGTGCTTTGCTGACCATAATTTTTAATATATCTGATATGATAAAATGATAGTTTGAGCATAATGGGAATTACATTTGATATGGTATATATATATATATATACAGTGGGTACGGAAAGTATTCAGACCCCCTTAAATTTTTCACTCTTTGTTATATTGCAGCCATTTGCTAAAATCATTTAAGTTAATTTTTTTTCCTCATTAATAAAACACACAACACCTTTTGGTAAATTGTGGATCTGAAAGAGCTAGAGCAGAGTTTCTCAACCAGGGGCTCATAATGGAACTGTACAATATTATTATTATTAATTTTTTTAAAATTATTTTATTGGTGGTAGTGCTGGTGGTATGGTGCTACTTTGTCAAATTAGACTGCAGAAATATACAAATATAATAATAATGCCCTAAAATGTCTATTACTTATTCTATTTTGATTAATCAAAGCAACATTAATATATTAGTGAAATATAAGACTATCTTTCTGTTCAGTATTAATGCATTACATTGTATTAGTAGTTACCAATGCCAAAAGAACAGATTCTACAGTGTGCTTTGCTGACCATAATTTTTAATATATCTGATATGATAAAATGATAGTTTGAGCATAAAGGGAATTACATTTGATATGTTATATATATATATATATATATATCATACACTTGCATAACAGTTGTAGACCTCTCTTGGCCAACAGAGGGAGCCATAACTTGAGAAGTGTTACACCCTTTTGTTTGCTGGTTGAAATCCTTACAAATTCGAATGAAATGGTCATACCTGCACTTGATGATAAACCTGTCTTTGTATTGTTTTGAGTTTAATCAACGCATATTTATGTTTGCTATGATAAAATAAATAAACATGCAAAGAGATATTTTTTTTTAATAGACATAAAGACCAGCTTTATTTTGTCCCATTACTTCATGACCAAAGAAAACTTTAATCCAGTGCCCCTGTAAATTCATAGATTTAGGTGTGCTATTCATTACTAGTAAACAGACAATACGTACCAGTTCTTGAAAATGTAAATGTCAGACAAACCAAATGTTATTTTGATTCTGTAGCTACTGCAAACAAGAGTGTATTCTTCACAAGAGAGTTAAGAGTAGGCCTAAGCACTAATTTCAGCATATAAATTATGAACACGATTTTTTAATCTTGGCAGATGCATCCCACATAAAATTAATTTAAAACTACAACTAACTAAAAAATGTATTAGCTTCATGTATTTTAGCTATTTGTTGATTCCCAGTGCAGTTGGAAATGTCTGATTCCTAATTTAATTCTAATCATAAACCAATGTAAGGCCATAGTGTTACAAAACAATGTTGTAAAGTTCCTGCTTTCATGTTGTGCCATTTTCCATTTCTTTAAGAATACCAAGAAACGCATAAATCCAGACCTAGAACTTTTTCTGTGATGTATATCTAAAGTATATTCATACAAACATTTACTTTAAGGCAACTGTAAGTCATTACTTTAGATGTGCAAACCGAATATTGCAAATTTAGCAGTCAACAAACAATAAACTATGGATTAACAGTGATAAAAATAAATATAGACCGATTGTCTTGATTGCAGGATGTTGCATATATGTTTTTTTTTGTCTTGGCCCTAAAATTTTTATATATATATTTTTTTTTTTTGCACTTAAAATATATAAATGTCATGGTATTAAATACAAAATATCAGACCAAGTGGTATTTATTTTTTAAGGAAGATAGCGCACTCACACAAAACATTTGACAAAAAAAAAAAAAAAAGATTTGTTTTTAAATTATAAAATAACCAATATACTGTTTAAAAATCATTAAAATCAAATTTTAATTATTTGTTTGCAGATGCCACTTGATTTGATATTTTTATTATCTCATGGCAATAAACCCATACATTTTAAGTGTGGCTTAAGCGTTCAAATACTTAAAGGGGTCACTGTATATTTGTGACTATTTAATCTGTGATATATTTAAACAAATTAGCAGAACCCCCTGAGATCAGCTCTGTAACAAGCTTCAAATTGCTAATATTATAAATCAAACAATGCATGTTAAAGGATAAGAGGTCCGAGGTGTTTTTGTTGTTTTATTTACAGGGAGCAATATAATTAATTTCTGAAGCATGTAGTTTTGTTAATTTATGATTAGAAATTTGTAAAATGCATTTTGTTTTCATTAAATAATTGGTGAAAAGTTCGTCCTTAGATGCAAAGACCTTCTCAAGATTGTAAACCTTTTATAGGTGACTACTGTATGCATGTTATCCCATCAAGCAATGTTTTAAAAGGGATCCTTAGCTGGTTTTGAGTCAAATGTTTTAGGATTAAAAGGGCAATTACATGTAGGTAGCATCCTTTGTCAATACCATACTGAAAGATGCATAAGTGTTTTTGTTCCAGTGTAATGTCTGAGAAACAGAAAATCTCTGGCTTAAAGAGAAGAAAAGCTCCCTCTGTTGTATCCGTTCACTAAATCGTAGGAGACCGAAGGAGTGGAGCAGTCTGTAAAGAAGTTTGAAAAGGTAAGTGCACATGGCGAGCTCTGTTCCACAGGCACGCTGCCAGAAAGGTCTGTGTGAGTATAAAGATTTGGCTGTACTGGTACTGTCCGCATGTCTCCTGACTTTTTGGGGGTGCTGCTACAAGTGCCCCAAGGCTCAGTGTACAAGAACCCACCACTTACAAAATGGTGGGAGTCATATGGCTCGGGGCCCACAGTCACCTCCTGTTGAATCCTGATCGGTGCGGTGTGAAATAGATCCTGCTCCGAGACCATGTTGCTGTAGTCGGGTCCAAGAAGCTCCAAGAACTCTGCTGCATCCGGAGTCCCTCGCTCCAGGTCTTTGAGCGACATGCCAGAAGTAGATGTAACTCTGGAGCTGTTGGCCGGCTCCGTGAAGAAGGATGGAGGAAGGTTTCGATGCCGCAGCGGGGTTGCATATATATATATATATATATATATATAAAATTGCAAATATGTGTATATGTATGTAATTGCAAAAGTACAGTCTGCTGTTTTTGCACTGATAGCAGATTTATTCATAATTGAAGTCTGCTATCAGTGCAAAAACAGCTTCACATTACTGTATGTGATAACTCAGTATATGAATCACACAGATATTAACAAAACATACACTGAATGACTGAATGAGCTATGTTCAAAGTCAAATATAAGCCGATATTTTTATATATATATTTTTTTTTTTTGCACTTAAAATATATAAATGTCATGGTATTAAATACAAAATATCAGACCAAGTGGTATTTATTTTTTAAGGAAGATAGCGCACTCACACAAAACAAAAATTTAAAAAAAAAAAAAAAGATTTGTTTTTAAATTATAAAATAACCAATATACTGTTTAAAAATCATTAAAATCAAATTCTAATTATTTGTTTGCAGATGCCACTTGATTTGATATTTTTATTATCTCATGGCAATAAACCCATACATTTTAAGTGTGGCTTAAGCGTTCAAATACTTAAAGGGGTCACTGTATATTTGTGACTATTTAATCTGTGATATATTTAAACAAATTAGCAGAACCCCCTGAGATCAGCTCTGTAACAAGCTTCAAATTGCTAATATTATAAATCAAACAATGCATGTTAAAGGATAAGAGGTCCGAGGTGTTTTTGTTGTTTTATTTACAGGGAGCAATATAATTAATTTCTGAAGCATGTAGTTTTGTTAATTTATGATTAGAAATTTGTAAAATGCATTTTGTTTTCATTAAATAATTGGTGAAAAGTTCGTCCTTAGATGCAAAGACCTTCTCAAGATTGTAAACCTTTTATAGGTGACTACTGTATGCATGTTATCCCATCAAGCAATGTTTTAAAAGGGATCCTTAGCTGGTTTTGAGTCAAATGTTTTAGGATTAAAAGGGCAATTACATGTAGGTAGCATCCTTTGTCAATACCATACTGAAAGATGCATAAGTGTTTTTGTTCCAGTGTAATGTCTGAGAAACAGAAAATCTCTGGCTTAAAGAGAAGAAAAGCTCCCTCTGTTGTATCCGTTCACTAAATCGTAGGAGACCGAAGGAGTGGAGCAGTCTGTAAAGAAGTTTGAAAAGGTAAGTGCACATGGCGAGCTCTGTTCCACAGGCACGCTGCCAGAAAGGTCTGTGTGAGTATAAAGATTTGGCTGTACTGGTACTGTCCGCATGTCTCCTGACTTTTTGGGGGTGCTGCTACAAGTGCCCCAAGGCTCAGTGTACAAGAACCCACCACTTACAAAATGGTGGGAGTCATATGGCTCGGGGCCCACAGTCACCTCCTGTTGAATCCTGATCGGTGCGGTGTGAAATAGATCCTGCTCCGAGACCATGTTGCTGTAGTCGGGTCCAAGAAGCTCCAAGAACTCTGCTGCATCCGGAGTCCCTCGCTCCAGGTCTTTGAGCGACATGCCAGAAGTAGATGTAACTCTGGAGCTGTTGGCCGGCTCCGTGAAGAAGGATGGAGGAAGGTTTCGATGCCGCAGCGGGGGTTTCTTGGCCCTCTCTCCTCGTACATCCTTCGCCGAGTTGAAGAGGGCAGCCAAACTCTTGCTTTGCAGGTTGGCCTGTATCCCATCCTTCTTGGGAGGCGTTTTGCTGGAGAGGTTGCTTGTTGGGTTATGGGGCGAGCCTTGCCTCTTACATGGCTCCTGAACCGGCGTGGTCCCTGGCGAGATGATTCCCGTGCACCTCTTAATCTGCTTCTGCAGGTACTTTCGGTGGTTGACTTTCCTCTTGGACTTGACAGGTTTGTCCAGTGCAAGTTTGATGTTGCTGGAAGCCGAGTCGATGAAGCTAAGCAGGTCTCTAGTGGTCTCCTTAAAGTCACCCTCGCAGTCCACCTCACCCAGGAGACCCCCTTCCAGACCCCTTTCAACCTCATAATCCATGACCGAGCCAGGAAAACAAAAGTTTAAGAACTGCGAGTTCATGATGGCAGCCTGAACAGCCATCTCTCTCTGCCACAAGCGCAACACCTTCGCAATGAATATATGCAATTGTCTTCGAGAGACCCTAAAGCATATTTCTTATCTGCATTTCCAGGGTGGTTTGCTAACCCTTGGTCCTGTGCAGGACACCCTTACAGTTCCTCTGCAATCTGCCGAAAGCTGGAATTTGGGGGAAGGGAGGATTATTTTAGGGGGCAGGGCCAATGATGTCAGGACATCAAAGGGGAGGGGCAGAGGAACCAGAAGACTTAACTCTTTGCTTACGCCTGACCACCTGCAACTAAGAAGGATTTGTCTGAGGCATCCCACAGAGTAAAAAGACAATAGTCTTGGGTTCATCTGTCCTGGTCAAGTCTGCTTGTATATGTGTATATACACATTTTTTAATATTAAATCATTGAGAACAGCTACATTGGACTGTGCTCAGGGCATCTGAATTTCTTGTTAAGTTTTACTTTTTACATTTGTTTTAATCTTTTGAAATGGACAGAGTTTAATCGTTTGTAAATTAAACATCCAACTCAAAATGTTAAAACATGAATGATAAAATATCAAATGTTTCCAGACACAACAATGTAGCTTATACATTGTTCAAGCTAGCTTGAACAGTGTAAACTACAAATACTTCATGTAACAAACTCTGAACCACTCTGAGGTCTTTAAATGATTGTTGAAATAAAATAAAACTTGCTGGGAGATTATAAAGTTGTTTAGTTTTAAGCTGGACTGAATAATACTGGACACTGGGCATTGTGTAAGTTTCGTGCAATGTGATCTACATTTTATATACTTGTCCACATGTCTCACAAAATTTGTATGCATATATCATATAAACTTGATTATAAAGCATTAGGTCCCGAATAAAGGTAAATGGAAATACATGCTTTGGGACAGGTTTTTCTACATGTTCCTCTAACTTCCTACAACTATCTCAATCTGTTCGCAATGGAAGCTGATTTCTCGTGCATTCCCGCACCAGTGGGAATTTTTGCCTCTGCCTGACAACTATTATAGGCTGCCTTTGACATACAGCCCTACATGGTCTAAATAGCTTCTATTCTTCCTTGGGCAGTGAAAGGGATCTTTGTGCCAGAGATTCATTAAACTGCACCTCACAGCCCCTTCGTAAAATGAGGCTCAATAATGAACAGTCGATTTAACTAGAAAAGCTGCCGGAGCTGTTAAATTAAAGGGGAATAAAGTGCAGTTCAAGCCCAGTGTGCCAGAAGAAATGCTGACCTTAAGAAATCCTGGGTATGAGCGAAATAGCCGCTGTAAACAATTCAGCATTTGCAGGAAGTTTCTTGGCCAGCAGTGAATACTGAGGAGGGATCCAAGACTGGGACTTTCGTATAGGGGTCTGATCGGATCCTGATTTCAGTGAAAGCACTTAAAGGATGTAGCTCTGGTTTGGAACATGGTGGGCTTAGAAAGAAAACACTCGAGGATAGTGGGAGTGTTTGAATAAGGTGAGATTTCCATCATTCAGTATAACAAGGATAATGTTTGATTTTGTGCTTATCTCAATAAAATAGTCCAGAAACAAGGATTTTTGCTCATTTATACTTTTGGCCCAAAGCGTTGACATTTTTGTCAATTAGGACTTTTAAAAATATTTCATGTCAAAAACCCATGTATATTTTTTTCACTTATCTATCTTTCGAGAACTCACTAAGCAGACTAATGTTAAGTTAGTTAAGATGTCCCTAATCTGATCTGATTCCAATTCAATCCACTAAACTACTTTCCCAGACATTAAACACATTTATAGCAGCCCTAATCACATTTCTTTTTTTATCACATTCATTGCACTTTGCATGTTGTGAAATCACGTGCCAATGGACAGTTTCTGCCATACCCTCTTTCTCTCTCACTTTGAGAGGTTTTCCCAGGGATTTTTTTATTCCCACCCCATAAATGCATTTTAAGGTGAGGCAGTGAATCATTTAGATGTTGGAAAGGGGAAAAAAGAGAAAGTCTAAGCGCTTTAGAGAGAGGGGGACCGTCGAGAGTGTTATTATCATGCAAATTGTGATGAAGAAAAGAGACAGTGAAACTGATAGCAGTGATCTAATTATCTGTAGCCCGGCTCAAACCCTGATCCTGAATGGGGGTCCCAGAGAAGCTGCCATGGCCTCACAATAAAAAGTTGTACCACAATAGAAAAATAGCAACAGTGTAAAAACAGGCTTTTTTTTTTATAGGATTCGCCTCCACATTTCCAAATTTAAGGCTATTTTAAACCACACTGATGTCCATTCCCCTCACACAGAATAAAGTGACCACTGTGATATGATAATGGTCAAATTGTTATGCTTAAAATATCATTTGTTATGAAAAAAATATAAAAGTTAGAAAAATGCTAAATAGTTTTGCATTTAATTTTAAGAAGTCTATACTGTATCTCATAGACATGAAATAATGATTTCATTATCAGTTATTATTATTATTATTATATTGTTTGAATTATTTGTAGGCTTAAAGTTTAGCTAAAAACTAGTCCAGCTAGGAAATTGGGTAACTGGGATAATAAGTTATAGTTTTGTTTTGTTTAGATATTTTCTCTAGCAGACTACTGCTTTGAACAATCAGAATTAAGTATTCCAGAGGGCTGTGTAATAAATGGATTTATTTTCACTTTTGTGAATGAATATGAACTCAGCCTGTACTTTGTAAAAACAAAACAAAAAAAAAAAACAATATCTTTAAGACATAACATTAAACATCAAGTCCCTGGGGTATATACTCGGCCCTTTCATTTTCTTTTTCAACAAGCACCCCCTCCCCACTTTCTTCTGGAGCCTAATTTTGGCACAGTGACATCACCAGACTAATGGCTGATATTTTCTTCTCTTCCCGCACAGAGCTTTTGTACATGCTAGTCATTCACGTTTAAGGGCTTGACGCACTAATTCCGGAAACAAGTTTCTATGGCCACATAATGGCTGAGGGGATCAAAGAGGGTGAGGAGTAGAATACTGACACCAAAAA